ATCCTTACTGGGAAGTTTCTAGTGTGTGTCTAATCTCTCAGCATACGCTGTGGGAACTGATCCTTTGTTGTTTTTGAAGGGTATGCTACTCATTTCTTCCTATTCTCTCTCAGTCTCTCTCTCTCCCCTCCTCTTTCTCCTTCAGTCTCTCTCTCCCTCTCCCTCTCTTCCAATATCATTCTCTCCCTCTCTCCCTCACTTTCTCCCTCCCTCAGTCTCCTCAATTTCTTCTCCCCTCCCCTCTCCTTCCCACCCCTTGTTGTGTGTATGAGTCCCTCTTAGAAGCTAATCTATAATAACTAATTTCACAGTTTCAAATGACAAGGTAATGTATACAGTATATATCAAATAAAACTTGAAGGATGCTAAGAAAGAAGGCGCCATAGAATACTGTAGCTTTCACATTTTTACTTTAAAAATTTCAGTTCATCAGAAATTTTTAAATTGAAAAGATTGAGAATACCTAATTTTTGTGGGAAAAGATTATTGTTTGTGCTTGCTTCAGCAGTACATACACTGAAATCAGAACTGTGAAGAGAAGATTGGCATGACTCCTGTGTAAGAAACAGCACACAATTTATGAAATGTTCTGTGTTTTTATTTATCTTTATGAAAAACTCAGGAAAAAAACCTTTTTTTTAACTTTTCCAGCTGAGATGGATCATTTTCAGATTCAATTTCCTGTTTTCCCCTTCCTTTCTTTCTTTGTCATAATTCTTTGGAAAACCACACTGGTGATCATATAAAATGAGCTTGAGTAAACCAAAATCCTGTCATCAATGAGAGTTTTGCCAGACTTTAATTGTGTTGCATTGCTTCCCTTTTAAACAAATTAATTGCAAAAGATAATTTAGTGACCTCAAATTGTACAATTCTGCGAGGCAATTTGTGTCTGTGTATCTCTTCAAGCTGGGCATCTGGTTAAAAGATACTGATGGTGATGAATTCAGTTTCAGAAAACTTGACAGTTCCCACAAATAACTGAATAGTATAAATTCTCTTTACCTCTGTAGTGTCTAGACTAGGGAATTAGAACCACAAGTTTATAAAATATGTTTACACAGATAAAATAGTACTTAAAAGTTTTGTTTCCAGGAGGCTAACAATGAAATTTCTAGTATGATACTGGGACAAGATACCCAGAGAAATACCAACTTGGTCCTGTGTCTCATGCCATTCAGATGAACTCCAGCTTGATCAGTTAACTTTATATGATGATGAGTGTGATATTCACAGAGCACTGTGAAAACAAAAAAAGGAAGGAGAAATCAGGAGGGCAATTTAGAAAATGCGTGATACATTCTCATTATATAAAAAAAGAAAATCGATCTTGTGTGTACGTGTGTGGTGCTAGGATCAAGTCCAGGGCCTTGGGTGTACTATGCAAGTGCTCTGTTACTGAGCTGAAAACTGATACTTTACAAACGGATTTCAAAATATGAATATATATTTGGTTTTACTTCAGATCATCAGAGAAGAAAATATGGGTGAAATTCTTTATAACCTTGAAAAGAAAGGCTGTTAAACTGACTCAAAATCCAGAAACAAGGAAGAAAATGAAAAATTTGATTATAACCAAATAAAACAAGTTTACCTGATTTTTAATAAAACACTATAAGCAAATTCAAAAGATAAATGATAAGCAGAAAAATATGTGCCTTGGACAAAAGGTTAATTTCCTTATATAAAGAGCACCTACATATTAATAAGACAGACATTACAGTCCAATAGAAAAAAGGCAAAGAATAGGAATAGATTATTCATAAAATAAGAAATGCATTGTCTTTTAACCTAAAAAAAAGTTTGCCCTCACACAGAATAGAAGAAATGCAAATTTAAACTATGCTGAAGAGATGCTTTTCATTTTATCAGATTGGCAAAAATTCTAAAGTGTGACAATTTTACATTGTTGAACAGATGTGGGAAAATTAATGTTGTACTTCTTAGGGCAATACAGAATGGCACAACCCTTGTGAAATCCAGGTTGGCAGTATCCAGATTACAAATGCAGTTACCCTCTGACCCAGCAATCTGGCACTGACAATTTTTCCTGTAGATACATCTGAATACATATAAACTGTCGTACATAGGAGGTTTTTCATTAAACCATTGTTTGTGATAGAAAATATTGGAAACAATTCAAGTAACTATTAGTAGAAGACTGGCTAAATAAACCATGACCCATCCATATAATGGAATATTGTGTAGCATTTTAAAGAGAACATGGAAACTGTGTGTGTGTGTGTGTGTGTGTGTATGTGTGTGTATCTGGAAAGATATATTATTAAATGAAGAAAGCAAGGAATAAAACAATACATAGTATGCTACCTTTGACATAGGAGAAAAATTTGAATTTACTTACCACTGCTGTATCTGGATGGAGACATAGTGAATAAACACAAACAAAAGGAGGATGTCAATAAAAATGGTTACATCTGGCAGGTAGGTGGGATATGGCATAGACAGGGAAAGGGTAGACAGAAGCAGGATGGGAGCAACACTATTCACTGTACTCTGTTGGATTGTTTTTATTTTTAAACCATGTAAATTATTACCTAACAAGCTTTTACAGTTACATATCTTAAAATGTGCATTTAAGTCACAGTTGAACATATATCCAAAAGCCAGAAAGATTTCCCCAGAGCTTGAGCATCTTGTATTTGGACTGTGAACTACAACCTCCTCGGTGGTCTTGTGGTTTATCTAGGCCTGTGCTGTCTGGTGTGGTAGACGCTTGCCACATCGGCTTTGAGTGTTAAAAACATGCTAGTCCCATTGAGATCTGCTGCAAATGTGCCTGATTTAGAAGACTAAGTATGAAAAAAAATGTAAGCTACCTCATTCATAATTTTAAAGATATTGACTACATGTTGAGTGATAATAGTTTTGATTTGAGGATTTAAAATATATTATTAAATTAATTTCACTTGTTATTTCCTTTCTTAAATGTGGCTCATAGAAAATTTAAAATTATATATGTGGCTCAGCTCTGTGGCTTGTATTTTATTCGCTTTGCACAGCACTAATATAAACTCTTGCCCATGCTCAGCATGTCTGCCAGAATCACTTAGAAAAAAAAATACAACCTAAGCATGTCACTTTCCTGCCTTAAATGTTCCCTCCCTTGGCTCCTAGATGCCTTAAAGACCTTTGTAATAATCTGAGACCCTTCCTTTGCTCATCTCTGCCTCCCCTCTTATACAGAATTGTTTGTCTTTACTTTCTGGGCTGCAGGCCACTTCATAAAATGAATCTTTGAACACACTGTCCCTTCTGTTGGGAATGTCCCTTCACCTCCCATTTCATTGCCTGAAATGGGAGAAACTACCCATCTTTTAAGCCCAGTCCATGAGGACCTTTTGCTAGTATCTTTAATTCTCTTGTCCTGCCCCCCAACCCCCACTTTCTTTGTTTCATTCAGGTGCTGAGGATCAAATCCATGGCCTCATGCATGCTAGGCAAGTGCTCTACCACTAAGCTATGCCCCAGATTCTTGTTCCATTTTCTTACATCATCTGCTAGACCTTTGTGTTCATGCACTTTGTCACCTTAATATCACAGTCACCTTTTGAAGAAATCTTCATAATAGTCTGAAATGTACTGGACTTGCCCTCTTCAAGGGCAGAATACATATTATATTCATTTTTCATATTTCCAGACCCTGAAACTGCTAGTAAATCTCTAAATTATCCCTAGGGAAATGAATTTGGCTGTACTCTGCCCAGTCTTGCCTGGCTGGTTTTTCTTATTTTTATTTATTTATTTTTTTATTTTAAAGAGTAAAAGGATAACATAATAATAGGGGGGTCTTACCAAATTACAGACAAAGTGGTAGGAAATTATCAATGGTTATAGTTTTACATATTATTATCTACAAAATAGTTTCTCAGGAAAACAAATAGACAAATAATAGTGAGTTACAGACAAAAGAGGTAGGAGATTATCAATAGTTGTTGTACTATACTTAGGTATCTTCTAAAGAAAATAAATAGAACTATACATGAGTGACCTATTGAATAATCATTAACTATTCTCAGTGGTTGTTGTAGGAAACACATAATAATAAACATGCATCCATTTATGAAATAGGATAGGAATAATACAAACATTGCAGAGTTATGGATATATTAGTAGGAAAATATCAATGACTGCTGTAATACATGGTGGTATCTTCGAAGTGGTTTCTCAGGAAAATAGAGATACACAAGAAGGATCTAACAAGTAGTTACAGCCTAAGGGTTGTCAAAAATCAAGTGAGCCATCTGGGGCAAAAGCCATTTTTTTGGAGCATTTTCTCTCCAGCCTCCCATCGCATTGGGACCCCACAACCAGTTAGTGTCTTCGCCCCAACTGTCAGCACAGGCAGCAGGAATCCTGCTGCAGACTTCTCCAGAGCTCCACCACAGCCTGTACTGTCAGGGGAAGAATGTCTTTCAGAGAGTCTCCGCAGGTATTGTGCAAGGTCTTCGTGGTTTACAGCTTCCGAGCGGCTCTCATGACCCCAGTCCACAGGACCTCTGATCCTTGGGCTTAGTCTGCATTCTCATGTTCTCCGAGTCCTTGTTCAGCAGCTGCTTCTCCGCTGACTCTGGACCTTTGTGGTTCTCAATGGCAGGAGCAAGAGTGGCCCATTGTATGGCATGTATTCCCAGGGGTTTTTCCATGTTTCAATGATTCACACACGTCCATGGGTGGGCATCTGCATCCGGTGCATGGTGGGCCAAATGTGTCATTGTTTCTCTGTGTCATGACCGTTCTCAATGGGGCCCTCCCTCCAGAGGCCTACAAGGCAGGAAGTGAGCCAGCCAGAAGACAGGCGCTCCCTGCCTGTGGCTCCCTGTGCACTGGAGGTCCTCCCTCCGGGGGCCTACGAGGCAGGGAGCAAGCTGCCAGTCGGAAGACCGGTGCTCCCCGCCCATGGCTCCCCGTGCACTGGGGGCCCTCCCTCCAGGGGCCTACGAGGCAGGGAGCGAACCGCCTCCCTGCCCGTGGCTCCCCGTGTGCCTGGAGCCCTCCCTCTGGAGGCCTACGAGGCAGGAAGCCAGCCAGCCGGAAGACCGGCACTCCCTGCCCTTGGCTCCCCATGTGCCGGAGGCCCTGGCTGGTGTTTCTATTTGTCTGGTCTATATATTGAGGAAAGCAGGCTCAAAGCCATAGGTCTTCCTTGGTTAAGAACAGACCTGTTTGGAATATTCTAGCTTTACAGAGGCCAGCCAGCCTTCCTACAAGCAGAGGTAACAATTGCAGAAATGTGAGTAGCACTAAAGGTGCAGTGAGTTCTGGTTTTCAGGGCTGCATTCAGACTGAGAGATGAGAGGTATTTTTGTTCAGTTCAGACAGCAGAATTCTCCAGGCTGGCGAGGTTCCTGTGTTTGCAGAAGGTAAAGGTGGCACGTGGTTGTCAGAAGGTAGAAGCATCAGGGGAAGCTGTCCAGCTACAGGAAGTCTGTGACCTGGAATAATGAAGTTCTCCATGGTCCACTTGGTGGGCTTGCATGTCAGTGCCCGTTCTGTGCGGAAAATTCTTCCTGCTTGTTGACCTTCTCCTCATCTTTCTCATCTCTTTGTGCATATTTGTTTTTGCTCAAAAGAAAAAAAGAAGAAACAAAATAATCTTAAGATCTGTGAAGCAAAAGTTTTTTAGAAAGAAAAATAGGAATTTTGCAATAATTTCCCTGCTTAAATAAAGGCCCGTGCTTATACTCAGATTTTAAAAGCATTATTATCATTGTTCAGAATGTGTTTATTTCTTACATAGTGATTCAGTTATTTTCACCAGACAAAGCTTCTGTGCAACTCTCCTAGTCAGCTGATTAAGATACTTACTCTTTAGCAAAACTTTAAGGGCCAATAGTGCAGTAGAAAGTGCTAGAAAATGGGTCTGAGTCTAGGCATGCCACTGATGTATTGGTATGATATGAGCATTAGTACCCCTGTAAGCTTCATTATTTAGTAAAATGGGCTTATAGGTGCATCTCAAGTCATAAGCATTATAAGAGGTGAGTGGACACAGGTTCCCAGTACAGTGCCTGGTCAACAGTAGATTTTTGTTAGTAGGACTTATAGTTGCCATGGGAGTATAGATTTTCTTTTGCACTTGTCTGGTGTTGAAGGCTAGAGAGGAGTATGTCCTCTCATAATGGAGATGACCTGCCATAATTTTTTAGTAGCCATTGTTAGTGGCTGTTCAGAGCCTCACAGCTGTCCCGGAGAGGGAAGAAAGGAGGGAGGAGTCAGGAACATGGGCTGAAGTAGCTTTGCCATTTATCAGTTCCATGGGTACTCACTCTCCATCTTTGATTTTGTCTGTAAAATGAAGATGGCAATCATCTCGGTCTCCAAAGTACAATGGTCCTATCTGCATAAAGTTGCAGAAACAGCCATTGGTTCCACAATAATGCTTATGGCAGTGATGGTGAACCTTTTAGAGCTTTCAATGATACAGACATCCTGCTGCAGCATGTGGGCCATAGGTTCACCTCCACCGGCTTATAGTATAGCAGCTCATTAGCTTATAGAATAGCAGACTTGGAGCACATGGAAACTGTGCCACATGGTTCTGTTACATGCCCGCATCCCAGCACCCATCCCCTTTTCCTTTGGGATTGTGTCCAGAGGCCCAGGTTGTCTCCTTGAGTGCTACTCCTGTGTTCGCTGTTGTCCTCCAGAAAAGGACCTGGCTCTGTTCCTCACCAGCAATGTTTCATTTTCTCCAGGGGTTGGAATCTGCTCTTTGTCATCCTTCTAACACAGGAGAGTAATCATTTTTAAGAGGGAGATTATCAGTGGGCCATTTCTTTAAAGTGAATTTTGTGCTTGATACAAATTTTATGGATATAGTGTTTTCTCTTAAGCACTCAGGGACTGTATAGTGGGCCTTCTCTGCCTCCTTGTCCTGCTCCTGGCTTATTTGACTGTCAACCTGGAAGGGGCCTCCCATGCTGGAGATGGATGAACACAGCATACTGTGTGCCTCAGTACCACATCATTTGAGCTGGCAGTAATCAAGGCTTGTGGCTAATTATCATTAGAAGGTAATTTCATTCTTTCCATAACTGATCTTGTCTTAAACCCACTATAGCATTTATTTTGTCACTTGATTAAAAATGAAAACGAAATGCTTTTGGCAATAAACTTTTGGAGACAGGTTTCCTATATATGGTTGTTTTTCAGACCAACTTTACAAACTTCAAGTGTGCCTTTATTAATGTAGTAATTTGTCTGCTTTATAACATTGCATATTCAAAATGAAAGAAAATTGAAACAGTTCATCACCTCACTGAAGCAAATGTTATAAAATGAGCATCTAGTTTGAATAATGAGTTTTTTTCCCAAGTTTTGCTTCAGTGAATGAAGCTAATGAAGCTACCCTCCACTGTCATGTTAGTGACTTACTCCCCACTAACTTTTGGTTCCTTTCCTCCACCAATTTGGGAGACCACTAAGGTTTCTTTCACAAAGTTCTTCCCTAATGTTACTTACTTTAAGTAAATCCCAGACAGCCACTTATGGCATTAGCATGGGTGAGGTAAGGACACCCCGTGATCATAAAATCATAATTTTGTGATATTTCCAGTGACTTTCTTTTTTACCAGTCAAGTTCTTGATAAAAGAGCAAAGTGTAAACAGAGCTCTAGAATTGGAAGGAAAAAAAAATAGATGTTGGCATAGCACCATAATATCTATACAATTCAGGGCAGGTATGCAGGAAGCTGCCCCACATTTTGTTTTAACCATGGACACTGATGCCCACAGAAATATGCTTCTGTCTGGGTAATGGTACTACATGGAGGGCACAGAGATGTTCTTCCAGACCTTGTTATTAACACATATGCATATATACACACACTGCATGTGCGTGTACATCCCTGGGAAGATGCTTACAGATAAATAACTTAATTTTTTTGCTACTAGATTTCCTGATCCATAGTCTTATCCATATTAATAATTGTAATAATACCCCTTTGATACAAAGAACTTTGAGATTTATCATTTAATTTGGTGTTCAGAAAACCACTTGAGGATAGATGATTATTCTTTTCCTAATGAGGAACCTCCTCAAAGTAATGCTGTTACTAATTCAGAAACACAGCTGTCATGTGGTAGAAAGCAATGATATAAAAGCCTAGTGTGATAGTAATTGTGATGTGTCAACTTGACTTAAGTAAGCTCTGCCTAACAGATTAGTAGCTTCTGGTTGTGTCTATGATGTGGCATGTAGGCCAGTGAAATGAGGAAGGAAGACCCACCCTGGATGTGGGCACCAACAATAGGCTTATAGCTTGGACAGAATGTATAGAGAAAGAAGGAGGAGTATTTCCATGTTTGGGAAGAGCTCCAGTCTTGACCATTGCCTTTGAACACTGGTCTCCAGTTTCTTCAGCTTTCTAACACAGACTCACACCGGTGACTCTTCAGGGAGTTTCCAGGCCTTTGACCTTTAAAAGCTACTGGGTGTTAGCTAGCTAGCATGCAAACAGCCATTTTGGATTCTGGTGCCTCTGATCTTGCAGATGATCACTGTGATACTTCTACTGCTAATCCAGTAAGTTTATTTAATAAATCCTTTTGTATAATTACACAGATATTTTATATTGATTCTGCTTCTCTGGAGAACCCTAATATACTTGGCTTTATATTTTATCATAAAATTAAAGGGAAATCCTATATTACATATTCTACCTCAATAAAAAGCTTACTGAATGAATGCATCAACAGCTAAATCAATAATAACATGAAACAAAACACTAATGAGTAAAATTCTAAAGACAAATCTCCAACTAAAAAGGTAAAATATGGAAGCAAATAAGGTCCTTCCTTCTTCTTCCTCCCCTTCCCCCTCCCCCACCTCCTCTTCCTTCTTCTTCTCTGTCCATCCATCAATCCCTGCTCCATTTCTTCCCTGCCCCCTGGTTCCCCTCCCTTCTCCTTCCTTTCCCTCTCCTTTCATTTCCATACTGGAGATTGAACCCAGGACATTTTCACATAGCTCTAGCCTTTTTTAATTTTTATTTTGAGACAAGGTCTCGGTAAATTACTAAATTGCCCAGTTGCCCAATGTAGGTTCAAATTTTTAATCCTCCTGCTCAGCCTTCTAGATTTTTGGGATTATAGTGTGTGCCACTGCACCCAATTTAGCAAATTATTTTCTGTTTCTTATTTCTGCTCCTTTAGCCATGGTAAGGGTGCAGGGAGGCCTATAGATTTGCAGGAAATATGTATTGCATTTAACTAGATTAGCATTACTTTGCTAAATAAAAAACAAGGGAATATCCTTTTATCTATAAATACTTTGATACTCAGATTGTATCAACATGAAACAGATCAAGATTGACTATTAATTCCTTACCTTTCTTCAACCAAATGTAGTCGTTCACTGCAACAGGACCTCAGGAAATTGTGAACCAGATTGTAAGCATTCTCCTCACCCTACATTAAAAAAAATTACCAGTTGTATTTTCTACTGCTCTCTGTGCAAGGCTAAGGGGAAAATAGAAAACTTTTCAATTAAATTTAAAGTCCCTGGGCAAGGCTTTCAGATGGGAGTGATTGCAGGTGATTGTGATATCATGCTACTCTGTGGCCAGCCATGTGAGCGCAGCACTGCAGCTTCATTTTAGGACCGTGGGGCAGAAATCATAGTCCATTTTCATTTGCTGAATTCTGCATCTTCATCTGAGAATTCTGAAATTCTTGATTTCTTAATTTTCTTTTTTTTTTTACCTTTTTAGTTGACTTTGTCTCTTAACCATGTTGCTTTTCAAATTCTAATTCTTAAGGGGCCACGTGATGTTTCTTTTTACTAATTAATGTGTATGATGTGCAAGAGTTTCTTAATTTCTAGAGTAGTATGGAATTTAAAATTTGAAACTTCTTTCTAGGTTTTTCTCTGATAACTTCTCCTCACCCTACATTACAAAAAAATTACCAGTTGTATTTTCAGATACTACTCTTTTTAATTCACTTAGGCCATTTAGATTACAGGCCTTAAATTCCTGTCTCTTGGGGAGCTTGATTTTCTCTTCACTTTTGGGCCCAGTTTGTCCTTCATACATGATGAGGTCACTGCATCCTACCTGTTTCTCATGGCTAACCCTGAACAGTTTGGCAGGGCGAGGGAATGGAAGAACCCCTGATTTAGCAACCTATTGAGAGGGTTTGAGTCCCCGTTCAGCCATTCACTAATTGCATTAGCTAAGGCAAATTAGTTTCTTTATACAAACCTTGTTTTCTTTTTATGCAGAATGAGTTAAATAATAGCTATTTCATATTGTTGAGGATTGACTGAGATGGTATAATTGGAAATGCTTTGTAGTGCCTCATACTGTTATTATTACTAATGCTTTTTCATGGGGAGGTGATGGATATACATTGAGGTAGTGATTAGATCACTTTCAGATAAAATATCAGAGTTTCCTGAATAAGGAAAGGGCTAGGCCATTCTTTTAAAAAATTATTTAAATTTTTTCATTTTATTTTCCCTCACCTTTACTTCAAACTGTAATTGACAAATAAAATTGAATATATTTATCCAGTATGACATATTTTGATATGTGCATGCAGTGTGAAATGATTACCACAAACCAACTAATTAATCTACCCATCACTTCACATATTTTTTTCTTTCTTCTCTTTTTATCTCTTCCTTTCTTTTCTTTCATGTGAGAATATTTGAGATCAGCTCTTTTAACATGTTCTAGGTATTCAGTACAGTATTGTTAATTGCAGTCATTGTGATGGTCAGATCAGTAGAATTATTCATCTTGTAACTGAAAGTTTTTACCTTTTGACCATCATCTCCCCCATTCCTCCTCCCTATCACTCAGACTCTGGCAACCACTATTCCAATTCTACTCTCTATTTCTATGAATTTAACTTTCTTAGACTCTACATATAGCAAGATCTTATTTTTCTTTCTTTGACTGATGAACTTCACTTACCATTATGTGCTTAAGGTTTGTCCCTTTTTTATTATTTAGTTTTATACTTTCGTGAGATAAGGTCTTGCTGTGCAGTTCAGGCTGGTCATGAACTCACTGTGTAGCCCAGGCTGGCCTCTAACTCTTGCCCATCCTCCTGCCTCAACTGGAGGATGTATTGAAAGAGTATTGAAATTACAGGTGTTATGGCACCCTGCCTGGCCTTTAACATGTTACTGCAAACACTAGAATTTCCTTCTGTTTGAAAAACAATTATATTTAATTTTAAACTAATACATAAAAATGTAAAAATTCCAGGTGATATTTCTAGGGTACCATTTGGTCTTTTGATATGTGTATAGCATGTAATGTTTAATCAAGGTAAGCATATCTGTCACCTCAAGCATCATTTCTTTGTGGTGAGAACATTAAAAAAATCTTGTCTTTTAGTCTTTTGAAATATATAGTATATTGTTGTTACCTGTATACACTCTCCTGTGCAGTAGAACACCAGAAGTTATTCCTCCTATCAAATTGAAATTAGTACCCATTGACCATCCTTTCCCTTTCCCCTCAGTTCCTACTACTCTCCTCAGCCTCTGGTAGCCATCATTCAATCTCAGCTTCTTTGAGAGCAACTTTTCTTTATCATACACGTGAATGAGATCATTCAGTATTCGTCTTGCTGCACCTGGCTTTTTTCACTAACATCGTGATCTCCAGTTCCATCCATGTTGTCAGAGACAGGATTTCATACTTTTATGGCTGGATGGCATTTCATTGTGTATATGTATCACGTTATTTATCCATTCGTTGGTTGATGGACACTTAGATTGTTCCTGCTTCTTAGCTATTGTGAATAGTGCTGCAGTAAACATGAGAATGTAGATGTCTCTTGGACATAGTGAGTGCATTTCTTTTGCATATATAGTAGGATTGCTAGATAATATAATAATTCTATTTTTAATTTTTTTAGAGAACTCCATACTGTTTTCTGTCGTGGCTACATTGGTTTATATCATTACCAAAAACGTGTAACAGGTTCCCTTTTTCTTCCACATTCTTTCTGGCCCCTATTGTCTTTTGTTTTTTGATAATAGTTATCACCTGGTAGTTAGACTTCATTTCCCTGATGATCACTGATACTGAACATTTTTTCGTATAACTACTGATCATTTATATTTTTCTTTTGAAAAAAATCTGTGTGGGTCTGCTGCCCATTTTTAATCAGATTATCTGAGGTTTTTTGGCTATTGAGTTCCTTATATATTCTGTTTGTTAACTCCTTGTGGATATGCAGTTTACAAATCCTGTCTCCCATTCCATAGGGCATCTCTTCACTCTTGATAATTTCCTTTTCTGCACACATGCTTTTCATTTGATATAATTCTGTTTGTCTAGTTATTACTTTTGTTTCTTGTGCTTTGAGGTATTTTCCAAAAGGTCTTTGTCCATTCCATTGTCTTGAAGCATTTCCCTTTTGTTTTCTCATAAATAGTTTCATAGTTTCAGGTCTTACATTTAAATCTTTAAACCATTTTAAGGGATTTTTTTTTTATGTAGTAAGAGATAATGGTCTAGTTTCATTCTTCTGGATGTGTTAGCTGATTTTCCTATCACTTTTTGTTGAAGAGACTTAGCGTTGAAGAGACTTAAAGATCACTGGTGGTAGGTGACTCGATTTACTTCTAGGCTTTCTGTTTGTCCTGCTGGCTTCTGTGTTGTTTTTATGCTGGCATTATGTTGTTCTGATTCCTATAGTTCAGTAATGCATTTTAAAGTCAGGTATTGTGGTGCCTCTTGTGTTGCTCTTTTTACCCAAATGAGTTTTGGCTATTTGTTGTTTTTTGTACTTCCATATAAATTTTAGGATTGCTTTTTTCTAGTTCTGTGATCAGTATCATTGATGTTTTAATAGAGATTGCATTATATCTGTAATTGCTTTGGATCATGTGGAGATTTATCAACATGGATTCTTCAACCCGTAAAAGGTAGAGGACATGGATATCTCTCTCCTCTTCAGTTTCTTTCATCAATGTTTTATAACTTTTATTTTGGAGATCTTTCACCACTGATTAGATCTGGTTAAATGGTACCAAAATGTACTGAAAGGAGCATCACTAGCTGGTATCTTGGGGGACTGAATATGTTTAACATTGCTGGAAAAGATAAATTTGAAAAGAGACCACAGAGTTCATTCAACTAAGAAAATAACCGAGCCTAAGTATGACTAGGAACTGGAAAAAAGCAATGCTGAGCATAGTGTCTGGCACAGAATTGGTGCTGAATAAGTGTTTGTTGAATGAATAAGTGGATGAAATACAGATGGTATAGAAAACCACTTATAGAATTGAGGCTGTATCTCAAGTTAACAATCACTCTGCCTGGTGAGAAAGCCTGTCCTCTAAAAAAGAATTGTTACCTCCCACTCACCAGGCCCATTCATTGGGCCTTTGCACCTGGGAGGTCATTGTTTTTAAACCACACAGGGAGGTAAGATGTTATATAGATACCTTTATTCTTATGTCACTTTGGTTTCATTTGTATGGCACTGTTAGTTTATGTTTGTTCTTGTTTTTGTCTTTTTGAGACAGGGTCTCGCTATGTAATTCAGGTTGGACTTGAGCTCACTTTGTAGCCCAGACTGGTCTCAAACTCATAGTGATCCTCCTGCCTCAGCCTCCCGAGTGCTGGGATTACAGGCGTGTGCCACTACGCCTGGCAGAGCACTGTTAGTTTAATAAATCATAAAATGTTTTAGTTTCATCTTAGAATCTGAGAATAGAGCTCTGTCTGAATTCTTTGGCAGTAAACTAAGTTAGATACATGTGTCCAGTAATGGTAATGATTATTTTGTTCTTTCTCTTGAACCACTGCAGAATAACATTTTGTTTTGACAAGGTTGTGACTTATGAAGTTATTGTTTCTTTTACTTCTTGTACCTTTGATTGACTACATTTTAACTTAACCCGTCGGTCTGTCATGGCGGCCTCTGGCTTAGAGAGTATAGAATAATTTTTGATCTAAGAAGCAAACTGAAATAGACTCATTTCCTGACCATTCATGGTGTGCATCATGAAACATATCTACAGTTTAGGTTTCATCAGTTTGGAGTGAAAAAGCACAGTGACCACAGGTAGCAAGAGCATTCTCAGCCCTCCAGAGAACTTTGCTCTACTTCCTGTAACACCACCACCACCACATGGATTAATACTTGAATAAGATGTACCTGAAGCACTCAGAAGTGTTTCAGGAGACTGGCTGTAAAACTCTGTATATGGTGCAAAGTGCCTTAAGGCCCTTCACTTAGTAATCACTGGAGACTTACTCTAGTGGGAGGTTTGGGAGGTTTGTGGATTAGTTGATGTTTGAGGGACAAATTAAAAAGACTTGTCTGTAAGACTGATTCAGGTGACATTAATTTTAAGGTTTAGATGACAGATTAATTTTATGTTTGCAGTTGAGCCATTTGGAAGTGCTCAATCTTTAGATGCTTCTATTGCAGTTAAA